TATCCCTACAGGAAGGTTAGCAAATTTCTCCCATCTGTAGGGGAAGGGTACAGTCCAATATGCCTTCCATCAACTGTGTTTTATTTCCTGTGTAACTTAACTGATGTCCATTTGCAGCAATTAGTCACCATGGATCAGGTAATTTAGATATCTTGCAAAAGTATCTAATTTTTGTTATAATTTTAGCAAGAGATAAAGAAAACAGCCATAACTGGGTACTGGTGGCTCACGCCTATAATCCTACCTTCTCAGGAGGCTGAGATCTGAGGATGGCATTATCTGAGGATAAATCTAAGAGACTCTGATATCCAGTTAACCAGTTAAAAAAAAACCTGGAAGTGGAGGTGTGGTTCAAGTCACAGTGCACCAGCTTTGAGCAGAAAAGAGCTGGAAGTCCTGGGTTCAAGCACCATCATTGGCATGTGCGTGCCTGCATGTGCATGTGCGTGCACACACACACACACACACACACACACACACACACACACAAAGAAATAAAGATATTGGAAGTGGCGCTGTGGCTCAAGTGGTAGAGCACTTGCTTTGAGCTAAAGAGCTCAGGGACAGAACCCAGGCCCAGAGTTCAAGACTCACCACTGACCAAAAAAAATTAATAATAATAGCTGATGTCTTGACTTTTGTGTGTTATAGCCCTTTCCTAATAAAGCCATTTCCATCCCAACAAGAACACAACAGGTAGGGACAATATCCCCAGTTTGTGCATGGAGGAAGTGAAGCCTGGAGAAGTTCAGTAGCTTTTCCTTTTTCTTTGTATGTGCCAGTCCTGGAGCTTGAATTCACTGCCCCTGAGCTGCTTCACTCAAAGCTGGTGCTCTACCACTTGTGCCATAGCACCACTCCCAGCTTTTTGGTGATTAATTGTCTCAGGGACCTTCCTGTCTGAGTTGGCTTCAAACTGTGATCCTCATCCCTCAGCCTCCTGAGTAGCTAGGATTACAGATGTGAGCCACAAACAGCAGGCTGCAGTTCGGTAAGTTTCATAGTCTTAACTGATGAGGACGGAGAGTCCAGATGGGTCCCAGGCAGCCTGCGGTGGGTGATGAGTCTGTGCCTGTGAGATCTCACAAGGAGAACATCCCTGTGGTTTGGAACTACCTAGCAAACTAACCCAGCTATCAACTGGGTCTTACCCACTTCCCGTGCCAGATGAAGTCAGCTTGAACCACTAATTCTGAGACTTGTGGGAACTTCAGTCAGTGCCTTTCTGCACATTTCTACGAATTAGCAGAGGCTTAGGCTTTTGTTTCCAGTGGGTTCACAGCCTCTCTGTGGCATTTCTGAACCATTTATCTCCACTCTGTGCTCACAGTGGCCCAATTTTAGGGCCCGCCCCTTTTCCCTGATATATAGCCTAAAACCAGATATGCATTAAAATCTGAGCAGCTGCTATGACCAGGGGGTCTCATGGAATACTGATGGTGACGTAGAGCTAAACAAGACCAGGTTTGGGTGCATCGTACCAGCAGCTGGGCACTGGCTATAGAGGGAAGGCCAGAGTCTTGTCTGTGAGAGCTGAATGAAGACAAGAAGGAAAAGTCACAGGATCATACTGGGACCAGATTTGGTACTATTTTTTGAACCTCCCCCAGCTCCCCAAAATAAAACAACTCAAGTAAACGTGGCTGCATTTTTTTTTTTATTTTTTTGCCCAATAGGCAGATGTTCATGGTAATGTTCAGGACTTATAAACTGCCATCTTCCATTACTGTTATACATGTTATCGCAAAATTTGGTTTGTGATTGAAATTACCTTAGTCTAAGAGGAATCCCTTTTAAATTACACATTGTAAGTTTTAGCCATATGTAAAAGTCATTTCTGTGAGCTTCAGTTAATGCATTGTAACTCTCCCTACATGACTGGGCAAACCATCTAATCTCTCCTCATGTTCTTTGCAGTACTGCCATGAGAATTAAATAATATTCTATGAGATGCACAGCACAGTATCTGGAGGGAAGAAAGGGCTCAATAAATGTAATTAAATCCTTTGGTTATTAAAAGATGGTTATTAAAAGACATGGATTGGTGGTAGAGTGCTTGCTTAACATGCATGGAGTCCTGGGTTCGATTCCTCAGTAACATAAACAGAAAAAGCTGGAAGTGGTGCTGTGGCTCAAGAGGTAGAGTGTTAGCTTTGAGTAAAGGAAACTCAGGGACAGTGCCCAGGCCCTGAGTTCAAGCCCCAGGACTGGCAAAAAAAAAAAAAAAAAAAGTATGAGGCAGGCTAGTGGGGGTGGAAGGAGGCTGTGGCTGTGAGGAGGGATCTGTTCTGTCATTACACATAAAATGGGCTCTGCCCTACAGGTGACAGTGTCAATGCTATCCCTACAGGAAGGTTAGCAAATTTCTCCCATCTGTAGGGGAAGGGTACAGTCCAATATGCCTTCCATCAACTGTGTTTTATTTCCTGTGTAACTTAAGAATCTGAGCCAGGCACTGATGGCTCACGCTCGTAATCCTACCTACTCAAGAGGCTGAGATCTGAGGATCGTGGTTCAAAGCCAGCCTGGGCAGGAAAGTCGGTGAGACTCTTATTTCCAAATAACCACCAGAAAACCAGAAGTGACACTGTGGCCCAAGTGGTAGAGCGCTAGCCTTGAGCTGAAGAGCTGAGGGACAGCACCCAGGCCCAGAGTTCAAGCCCCACGGCCAAGCAAAAGAGCTTGGGGACAGTGACGAGGTCATGAGTTCAAGCTCATGACTGATAAAAACATAAAACCTACAGCAATTTTGTGGATTAAACCTCTATTCCACAGCATGGTTAATGGCAGAGAGGAGGCATCAAAGGTCAGTCTTCGTTGAGTGGTTATAAAATGCTTTCTGAAATACTTCTCATGCAAGTTAGAAAAAGAAGAAAAAGCATTTCTCACCAAGTGAATTTTTTTTTGAGATGTCTCCATTTCCATATGATGGTATCTTAGAGATGAGAAAGACTTCAAGAACCAAATATATACCATTGGATAACACACTGTAAATTATGTAAGACTTTGTTTTAGGGTTTTTTTTTTTTTTAAACTATCCTAGGCTTTGGAAAGTATTGTTACATAAAACAGCACAGGGAGGGTGGGATAGGCTTGTGTGCTGAAATACTGTGAACTGGCTAAGAACCTAGAATAGAGAATTTTCCCTCTAGCCTATTCAGATGACTCTGACAAATGAATACCTTGGCCAGGAAACATGTCTCACCTACACACCCCAATCCCCCTCCATGTCCTGACTGTGGTCAAAAGTTCGCTATGAGCTCTGTTCAGAGATTATTTAAGCTGTTGGTTGGTATGTTTTGGAAAGGGAATGGGGAAGATAACAAAGCAGGGCAAGGGCACATCTGTGAGTTCTAGGTCAGTGGAGGGAATGGAGGTGATTTTTCCAGAGGTTCCCTACTTTTCATGAGGTCTCTAAATTTTTTCCTATCTTCAAAAATCCACCTTCCCCCTTTTTTTTGTGGGTCGTGGGGCTTGAACTCTGGGCCTGGGCCCTTTCCCTCAGCTCTTCAGCTCAAGGCTAGCGCTCTACCACTTGGGTCACAGCGCCACTCCTGGTTCTCTGGAGATAAGAGTTTCATGGCCTTTCCTGCCCGGGCTGGCTTTGAACCTCGATCCTCAGATCTCAGCCTTCTGAGTAGCTAGGATTATAAGCGTGAGCCACCAGCGCCCAGCTTTTTTGTTTGTTTTTTAACTCTAAAAAATAGCTCATTTTTGCTGGGTGCTGGTGGTTCACACCTGTAGTCCTACTTACTCAGGAGGCTGAGATCTGTGGATTGAGGTTCGAAGGCAGCCCAGCCGAAAAGTCTCTGTGAGACTCTTATCTCCAATTAACCACTCAAAAGCCAGAAGTGGAGCTGTGGCTCAAAGTGGTAGAGTACAGCTTGAGCAAAAAGAGCTCAGGGGCAGAGTCCCGGCCCTGAGTTCAAGCTCCAAGAAAAACAAAACAAAACAAAGCTCAATATATTTTGGAGAAAAACTAACCCACATATTTTTTTCCTACTTTGTCAACATTTTTGTTGAGGTGAACAAAAGTATAACAAAACGAAACCCCACAAACCACTATGTAGAAGCTAGCAGGCAAAAACATAGATAGGAATTTGACAACCAAACCAGAAGAAATCTTTGAAGAGTTCAATACTGGAGACATGGAAGCTATGTAGTAACTCACACAATGTGGTTTTGGTGTTTATTGGGAATATCCGTGGACCAAACTTTGCAGTCTGTAAAGTTCTGTGAAAGTCACACAAAAAAGCCTGTTTAATCAGACTGCTTAGACATACCTTTGGTACCATTTCATGGAGGTTGAATTTTTAAACCTCCTAATATTATAGAGATTTTATTGTAAGTCTTCATACTTCCTAGTTATGCTTAGTCTTCTTTCCTAATTGTTTGTAGCAATTATAGAGGACCATGGTTGAAATTAAAATCAGCCAACAGCAAGGTATGATAGATCAAGCCTATAATCCTGGCTCCTTGGGTGGCTAAGATTAGGAGATCACAGTTCAAGGCTATCCCAGAGACTCCATTCCATATCTCATTCAATTGGCTGGGTATGGTAGCATCACTCCAGGCCAGCCCAGCCCAGGCATAAAGTGAGACCCTATCTTGAAAATACCCAAGGTGGGGGTGGGGTTGGAAGAGATGGGGAGAATGCTGAAAGAAGTAACAGTGATCAAGATGCACAGCACTTATAAACTGACAATGGGTTAAGTAATATAACAAAGAACATAAGGCAAAAGGGGGCTGAAGGTGTGGCCCAAGTGGTAGAGTGCGTCCCTAGTACTGCTAATACATACATATATTCCCAACATATTGTTTTCATATATTAATACATAAAGTCTATCACAAATAACAGAATGCAAGACTGTTCCTCCAAGTTAGGATTTAGTATCTGACATGGATCAAAATAAATATCAACATAGAAATATAGGTAGGCAATAAAAACTTGGGCTATTTCTCAATATTACCCTTTCTCAAATACAGTTGTCGTTTTCTAGGTAATTGGAAAACTTCAAAGAAGATATTCTAACAGCCGGACAACCAGTTGAGCCCTGAATTGGCAACAACCATGTAAGTTAACTCTTCATACATTTTCATTTCTTTTTTTTTTTTTTGGTTAAGCTTAAGTGAAAAGAGGTTTAAAAAAATCAAGTGAGGGTTGGGAATGTGGCTTAACGGTAGAGGGCTTGCCTAGCATGCACTCTAGCATGGTGCTGTGGGCTCAAGTGGTAGAATGTTAGCCTTGAGCATAGAGAGAGGCTCAGGGACAGTGCCCAGGCCTTGAGTTCAAGCCCCAGGACCAGCAAAGAAAAGTGAGGACTGGGAATGTGGCTTGCCTAGTATGCATGAAGCCCTGGGTTCGATTCCTTAGTACCACATACACAGAAAAAGCCCAAAGTGGTTCTGTGGGTCAAGTGGCAGAGTGCTAGCTTTGACAAAAGCAGCTCAGGGACAGGGCCCAGGCTCTGAGTTCAAGCTCCAGGACTGGCAAAAAAAAAATCAAGTAAATAAGCTTTTATGTTGAGACATACATTTACTGACTGTATTGATCATGGCTTTCTGAGAAGCACACTTCTTTGGAAATGGATGTTAGATGGAATATACTGCTTGTGGGTATCTGGAGTCTTGCTGCTACTCTGCTATTTCTACCCCAGACTCAGGTTCAGAGAGAGTTTCTGCATCCATAGATGCTGTTTGAGCCTAACAGTGGTACAACTATACCCCAGGGATTGGCAGACATTTCTTGCCAAGTTCCAAGTTGCAAACAGTTTACATTTGGCTCCACTACTCAGCTCTGCCACAGCAGCCATATAGAATGTCCAATTGGATTGGCTTCTGTATTTCCCTTACACCCTGTTATCTGGTGGTGGAGGAATATTTTAAGTGACTGACAGCAAAGAAGAAAGTATCTCACCCTATCCAGAAGATTCTTCTCAGGCTTAATTCTTAAAACACTTAAGGGGGTGTTAATTTGAGATCATAAAACTAGGTAGGTTACAATGTTCAATGCTTTTTATTAAGAGTATGTTTTAAGGCCTACTACAATTGATGAAAAGAACAAAAATTTAACCGACTGTACATTTTTTAATAAACCACATGGCAAAATGACACTTTATTAATAAACATATAGGAAATTACAATTTGAATTGCAAATACAGTACATACACTTTGATCCTAATTACATGGACAAAACCCCAGTCTCAAAATCTTTCCAAAATCAATCATTTGTAAAATACTTGGTTTCTAAAGGGGCATATGGAAAAGTATCTACAATTTCTTAAACTGTGATATGGCTTATTAAATAACATTTAGAGAAGGCTAAGCTTTCCGAATATACAGCATCTTCCAGAGTGAATGTGGAAATGTTGACACATTTCAATTTTATCTCGCTACACTATTTAAATTTGATACTATCACAGATTTCGCTAGGAAAGACTCCACAAATGTGATCCGATCTGAAGGAAAATCACAAAACGCCTGTTGGTCCTTTCAATGTGATCATTGGAAGAGCAGCTAAGCCACTTGTAAGCGAGCGCAGTGACTGCACTGAGAACTCCCCACACTATCTCCTCTTCATGCTCTTGCCATGTTCCCTCTCATACCACAAGTGGTGTGCTAGACTCGTGAACTCCAAACCAGACCTAAAGCCCTCGCTGACGGGATTCACATGACTTATCTGGAGTTAAGAGTGTGCAAACAGTTTCCGGCTAGAGATATTAAACTTCACCAATTATCTGGAGATCAGACTTGCCTCCTGAACCAAGTGAACTCATCTTTTATCTAGGTCCATATTCTGTAACTTTAAATGTATGATGTGCAAGGTAATTCACAGCAGAACTGTCTAAAACTTCTTAGAATGGGTTCAAATTCGATAACATCTTGTTAGGTGAGCCAACCAAAATAAACATATATGAAGAAAATAATGTAGCTGAACTATGTTTGCTTTTAGAATGAAATGATTATCTCGAAGACAATGTGCAGAGTGGTTGTTTGGTCCTGACAGGGGCTGCAGCCTGTCTCTCTCATGTGCTTTATGAAGTTTAGTGTGTAGCAATCTAAACCAGGAACAATGAGTGGTTTGTTTTTAAAGATCTCCCCAGAAAAATACACTTCCTAGTGGTGCATCCTCTCTGAAAAATGGTTTTTGCTTACATTAAAATAAGCTCTTGTATTTGTATCTGTTCTTGACATGTCCATTCTGGAAAGATCACCTGGGTGGGAGAGACAGAATACTGAGACTCCTAAGAGCAGGAATCTTAGTGGTAGAGAATAGACATAAAGCATCCAAGGGGGAAAAAAATCAGCAAAATAAGACATCCAGTGACTTGGCAAACAATACTGATGGAGACTATAGTTGTAGAAGTACAGTCTCACAGTACATGAAGCATAGCTAAAGGAAATGTAGGAATTACAATAGCTTCCAGTACTGCACATCAATCTCTCAGAAATTTATCCTATTGAACCGCATTCCCATTACATTTGTAAAGGAAGCAAGATCAACAAAAAGTATCTGTAACCAGGCAGTGCTGTGAAACATTAAAGTATGAAATAACTCAGATTAATGGATACAAATATTACTTAGAAAACACTGTATTGAAGAAATGCTGTGATGTGTTTTTCCAAGTGCAAAATTAGTAATGCTGTGTTTGTCCAACTCAGCCCCTGTGTTCATAGGGTAAGAGACAAGCTTCCCAGGGCTCAGCTGAGCGGTGTAACCACCATGTGTTACAGCTCATCACAGGAAGGACAGAACAAAGCTGTCAGAAGCTATGCAGTCCTTGGCTGTAGATGCTAGGTTAATATCCTTCTCTGTGGGAGAAGTACAAGAGGCCAAAGAATCTATCAGTTCTTGAATCTTGTACTGAGTTTCCTAGATACCATCAACTCTGCTACTGAAAACATCTTTTCCCAGCAACCTTTTAGGCAAATTCAGGTTACCTTATTTTGGGTTACTAATAAAGTATGTGCTAAGAAGATGGATTCTGTTTCCCATTCTTCATTTGTAAGTTATCTGGCAGGCCTACCTAGAAGTTTAATTCACAACTTGTCTGGTACATTGTTACTCTACACTGATTCTTTGAGGAGCCAAGAATCCTATGAAGAGTGCATATTGAACAGGGAGTTCTAGTGTGCACAAAGTTAACTCAAAAACAATGGTTGCTAAATGAAACATGAATATTCACCGCTACCTCTTAACACAGTTTCCAATTAGGTTGTCTTCAGTCTGGAAATATGCTGTCTCTACAACACAGATTTGACATCAATCCCCATCCCAGTGTGCTCTCGTGCCCTTTCTGCCTCTCCCCCACCCTCTCTCCACACACACACACACACACACACACACATCAAAAACTGTTTCCATTTGTTTTCTCAAACTAATATCTCCTCCAACCCCTCCGAGAAAACTTCAAATTTGTATCTTGAGGTTTCTATCCTCTATCATAAATCAGACATTCTCTCTGAAGTGGTCAATCTGCATGTGGCATTACAAACTCAAATGTAGCCCTATAAAGTTACTTTCATATAGGCTCATATAGTACCAAGCAAACTATACAAAATGTTGGCAGTTCTTAAAGGGATAGATGATAATAACTTACATTTTGCAGTCTCTTACTGATTTTAAGAAAATTTCACAATAAAAGTGATTTTAGGAAGATATAAATTTGAGACTCCAATCCCATCTTCCCTTCTTTATTATTTTAAATAATCATATGGTAATTTGAGGTTAAGCCTAATTTCTGCCATTCAGAATTATATTAAAATATTTTCTAAATAACTTAATGACAATGACCATAATTTGTGAAGATTTTGTTGTGACAAGATTACAAATAATAAAAAACATTAACTTTGAGATTCAAGACTCAGCAATATCTGGAAAAAATGTTAAGTATAACTATAACATTAAAACTTATTTGTGAAATGAACAGTTCTGAGACACCTAGGAATACATGCTTATTCCCTTCTCTGAATAATTACTAGTACTTTCTGAAATCTGTTGAGAAGTAATTTTGGTAAAAAGAGGCAGCAATTCTAGAAGCTGAATGTCAAGATTACATAATTTAAAAAATACAACTGAGTTTACTAGCACTGGCTTGGTATAAAATGGCCTTTAAAAAGTGTGTTTAAATGCAAATACTGAATTCTGATGCTTCCTGAAGACACATATTCTGTCAGATTGATGAAGTACGGGACTGGATTGTCTTCCATGAGGTATCTGTAGAGTAACATCTCATTCTGTAAACAGTATTTTGAAACTTCTTCATCCAACAATCATGGTAACGGCTCATTTTACATTGAACAGAGTCTCACATAGGCAGGCTGGAGTGACTGTTTTGAGACTGGTGCTCGCTATGGACACAGCTGTCAGTGATTCCATTTTCTCACTTAGGGTTGCTTTTATTGCTCTCAAGTCTATGACTGTGGATAAATAAGGCAGTAGGCCCCAAAACACGTACAAATCAGGGACTGAAATTCTGACAATTTGCACAAGTTCTGTTCACTTCTTGCCTGTAACTCTGGAGCTGGATAGTACATTTATACATGCCAAATGTGTTCAACAATAAATGCTTTGCTTTGGACTGTACTTCTTCCCATTTAGATGAACTTCCAGGAACTGCAATGTCAAAAAAAACGTTATTCCTATTTATTGTACAGTTGCGCACTGGTGAGTAAGACACAGGGAAGAAACAATCTTTTTACACTGTTGAGCACACTGTCATAGTCTACTTGTATCTATTCTGATACTCCTGCTAGGGAAGTGGGAGTGTGTTATTAAAAAGCTCCACAGTCCATCTGGCGAAAGAATAGTGGCAACAATGAAAAGATATTACGTACATAAAAAAAAAAATTTATCTGAATTGTTTTAAAAAAAAAGGGATCACTCTGTGAAACAACTTAAAGAAATAAACATAAGAGCCCTAGCTTTGCTTATATAGAAGAGCACGGTAAATATTCTTTAAGTCTTTAATCTCAAGGTAAGTATCAATTTGACTCCCAAAGAGATAAAAAAAACTTTACTTTGCTAGTAACAGTGACCTGCATCTTACCTTTTGAGGAGTTTTTCCCCTCCCTAAATCTTGTCAGCAGGAAAGTCTTCCTACTTAATTTCCTACTTAATTATAAGCTCACATGCTTAATTCCAAAGATAGAAGTCCACAAACCCCAGGCAGGCCCACATTTGCTATCAGCAACTTACTTAGCTGCATGTGAACTATGGCAGTAGATTTTCCTGAAGTGAGAGACCAGATATTCAAATCTTCCACAGAATATACATCTTCTATTTTCATCAAGGCTTCTTTGATATAATCTACATTCAAATGGCTCGGTACACCTATTAGTTCAGAATATTACAATTTGTAAGTAAATTCCTTACCTTGTAAAGAAAAAGTTTTAAATTATATTCAAAGAAAATAAATGGCTTTGCTAAATTCAGTTTAAACAGTATTTTAAACTATATTAGATTTTTAACAAACTATATGCATGTGTTTATAAAAATACAGGAAATATATGGCGTTAATAGATACTTTAAAAATGCTATACCCACTAGAAGAGAACGCCAATCAAATCAGAATAGTTCAACAGATAAGCTAGAACAAACTAAGGAGAAAAAAGAATCCAATAATGATAAGTTTACAGTCTAACTTTTATTTTCATGCTTAGACATGCTATTAGTAAGAAAAGCTGTCATCAGTACAACAAAGTCACACATTAAGTAGGATTAAGGAATTACATAAGCCAAAAGACATAATCATATTAAGAATCAAAAATTGCATTCTTGTTCTGGCTCCAGTGTATTAACAGTGTGTCTTTACTAAGTTATGTTATCCCTCTGAAGCATAATCTTGTTTATATTTTGTTTTTTTTTGGTGTTTCTTTTGCCTGTCCTGGGGCCTGGACTCAACCTGGGCACTGTCCTGAGCCTCTCTGTGCGCAAGGCTAGCTTTCTACCACTTGAACCACAGTGCCATTTCCAGCTTTATCTGAGTAGTTTATTGGAGATAAGAGTTTCAAAGCCCAGGGTTGGTTTTGAACATCAATCCTCAGATCTCACTGTTCTGAGTAGCTGGGCATGAGCCAGTGGCACCCAGCTAATCTTGTTTATAAATAGGAATAATCTGGGCTTGGAATGTGGTTTAGTGGTAGAGTTCTTGCCTTGTAACATGCAATAAGCCCTGGGTTTGAGTCCTCAGTACCACATAAACAGAAAAAGCCAGAGGTGGTGCCATGGCTCAAGTGGCATAGTACTAGCTTTGAGCACAGAGAGGCTCAGGGACAGAGTCTAGACCCTGAGTTCAAGCCCCAGGACTGGCAAAAAAAGAAAAAAAAGGAATAATTTATCTACTCTCTGCCTATTTTACTTATAATAAGGGCCAAAGAGATAATGTATGAGAGAATGCATGAATACTCAAATGCTCAGTACACATAAGGTAGTGTTACGGAGCCTAATAAAGACAAGCAAAATATAAAAGAGAGCTCCTACCCAGTGTCCCTCTGACTCCCAATCTCCAATGAATACACAAAGGAGATATTAGTGAGAGCTTACCTTCCAATATTATAACTACTGTGTCCCAGATGATGCGAAATGTTGTAAAAGCCACAAGTAATGAAAATATGTATGTACAGATGGGATCAGCAATCTTGTATTCTGGCTAAAAAGTAACAGATGAGAGTATACAATTAAATGTCAACAACAAGCAGGCTATAAAGCAAAGCCAGGCATACACCCCCAGTCCTCTGGATCTCTTTAGTAGATTAGAGATTACCTTCAAAACTTGAACACTGTAATTAAGGAACATCTCTACTCTTTCTTAATGTTTAAAATGACTTTCTTCAGGGGACCGATTTCTGGAAATTTAATTGCTTGTTATGTTATTCTCCTTTGTACCTTTTCTAAGTCTGTTACCCAGAATCATAAAATATCAAAGGTATAAGGAGTAAATAAGAGGGAACTCAAATTTGAGGGGCATGCAGGCTAAGACAGGATCTAGATTCTAATCTAGTGCATGTTCAGTGACAAGGCTTACAGTGAGAAGAGGCCATCAAAGCCAACTGTAGATAAGGTACCTGATGAGGTGATAGCATTGTATTTATTGCTAAGAAAAGAACTGCACTCTTGGTCAATTAAGTTTATACCAATGCATATAAGTGGCATTGGTGTAATACATGGCAGGGCTAATTAAGCTTACGCCAATGAACAGAACTGGCACTCATATCCAGCATACTGATGAAAGAAAAGCAGCTTTAGTTTCAATGCTAAAATTAAGTGACTTCAAAAATTAGCTATCATGTTACCTTGAATCGTATGATGTAGGCAGCTATTAGCACACCAACACTCTGTACCAAGTCCCCCAGGGCATGGACAAACGCAGCTCTCACCGCCAAGCTATCCTGCCCATGGCTGTGTCCACCAGAACCTGTGGTAGGAGAATTTGAAGGCAGGGAATGGGAATGGGAGTGATGGTGACCAGATTGGTTCAACAGAAACCCCATTCTGTCAAAAATAAAAGAAAACATTGTTATTTTCCCTAAAATAGTTGGTTAAAATATTAGCCACTATTCAGAAATGAATGAGGCAGCACAGAACTCATTCATTTAACAAATCTTTGAGAACCTATTATGTATCAGGTACTGTTCTAGGTGCTGGGGTCAAAGCAGTGAGTCAAGACAGACATATCCCTCTCCCCATGTGAACAGAGACCTGAAGAAAGTCAGGAATAAATGCTCAGGGCAGAGAGCAGACAAAGGCCCAAAAATGAAAAAGTTTCTCCATGTACTTGGAAAAACAAAACCACAACAGCCACTGTGGCCTGGATAAAGTGAGCAAAAAGCACTAGAGGTTAAGTTGGTGGGAGCGGGGGCAGGGCACACAGGTTTTACTTAGGAAAGGCTGCTGTGCAGGTGACAGTGGCTCACACCTAAAATCTGAATGACTGGGGAGGCTGATATCTGAGGATCTGATCTTAGTTTGAAGCCAGCCTGGGTCAGTCAAATCTGAGAGATTCTTACCTCCAGTTAATCTGCAAAAAGCCAAAAGTGGAGGTGTGCCTCAAGCAATAGAGCTCAGGCTTGAGCAAAAATGCTAAGCAAGGTTATGAGGTTCTAAGTTCAAGCCTCAGTACAGGCACGAAAACAACAACAAAGAGCTGTTGCAGGGGCTTTTGATTAAATTACAAGTTTGATAGAAGCCACTAGGTAGTGACTGGTTAAACCAGGGCTAGGAAATCATATTTGGCTTATTGTTTTTGTAGATAAAGTTTTACTGGAATACAACCATGGTCATTTGTTTGCCCAGTGAATATGTCTGCTTTTATTTTGTGACAGCAGGGAATCAATAGTTTCAAAAGAAACTATAAATCAAAGACTACAATATTTACTATGTAGTATTTTCTTTTTCTTTTTGTTGGTTCTAGAGACTGGACTCCAGACTTTGTGCATGCTGGCAAGATGTTACCCATCAAACTCTACCCACAGTTCCTTTCTTAAAAAAAAAAGTTTGCTGACTCAACTTAAACATATCACCTAAAAATTGAGTACTTTCAGGAAAATAAGTTTAAAAGGTCTAGCTAATACAAAAGTACTCTAAAATGTTAAATAACAGAAGACATTATTCTGCTTAAATCTTGATTGTTGGTCAAACTCCAGTATAACTCAACAAACTAAGAAGGGATTATAATGTCTTGATTTTTATTAACATTTGTAAGAACAACTAACATTTATAAAAACAACTAATGGACTATATATAAATTTTAAACCAAGACTGGGCACCAGTAGCTCACTCCTGTAATCCTAGCTACTCAGGGGGCTGAGATTTGAGGATCATGGTTCAAAGCCAGTCCAGGCAGGAAAGTTTGTGAGACTCTTATCTCCAATTAACCACCAGAAAACTGGAAGTGGAGTTGTGGCCCAAGTGGTAGAGTGCTTTCCTTGAGCTGAAGAGCTCAGGGACAGCGGCCAGGCCTAGAGATCAAGCCCCATGACCAACCAAAAAAATAAATAAATAAATTAAACCATGACAATATTTCACAGTTTGAATGAATGTATGTATAACAGTCTCAAAGTTTATAATACCTGAAAATATTATGTGAAAAAAACCAAGCTTACATTATATTAACTGCGACTCCAACAGCTGCGGTGATAAGCATGATATCTCCGTTTATTTCATAGTTCATATGGATAGTTCTTTGCACAGCTTCGTATAAAAGGAATCCCATAAGAACATAAACCAACAGCACACTAATCATGGCCGACAAAACCTCTGGAAGGAAACATAAAACATACATTTTCAACACAGTTTTTAAACTTCATACCAACTACTATAGTTTTTTATTTTCATTTTTTTCTAAGTAGGTGAAAGCAATATACCATTTTTAATATGTTTCTTTTTCTCATTTAAGAAAACATTCAGGCCGGGCGCCGGTGGCTCACGCCTGTAATCCTAGCTACTCAGGAGGCTGAGATCTGAGAATCGAGGTTCAAAGCCAGCCTGGGCAGGAAAGACCGTGAGACTCCTATCTCCAATAAACCACTAGAAAACCGGAAGTGGCGCTGTAGCTCAAGTGGTAGAGCGCTCGCCTTGAGCTAAAGAGCTGAGGGACAGCGCCCAAGCCCAGAGTTCAAGCCCCATGACCGACCAAAAAAAAAAAAAAGAAAAAGAAAACATTCAGCTGCTTGAATGATCTGGGTTCTGCACTCATTTATCCCATACCCCTGTCTCCACTCATACTTTAATTATGTACAGTTGCAGACCCCTATAGGTAAACAATGACAAACGGAGAGAAATACTTGTAACATATATAAGTACAGACTAATTTCTTTTCTTTTTCTTTTTGCAGGTCCTGGGGCTTGAACTCAGGGCCTAGGCTCTGTCCCTGAACCTCTCTGTGCTCAAGGCTAAGCACTCTACCACTTAAACCTACAGGATCACTTCCAGCTTTTTCTAAGTAGTTTAATGGAGATAAGAGTCTCATGGACTTTCCTTCCTGGGCTGCCTTCAAACCCTGATCCTCAGATCTCAGCCTCCTGAGTAGCTAGGATTATGCCACTGGCACCTGGCTAAAAGATACAAAGTAGACTTTTTTTTTTTTTTTTTTGCCAGTCCTGGGGCTGGAATTCAGGGCTGGGTACTGAACTTCTTTTGCTCACGGCTAGCACTCTACCACTTGAGCCACAGTGCCATTTCTCACCTTTTCTGTGTATGTGGTACCAAGGACTCGAACCCAGAGCTTCATGCATGCTAGGCAAGCACTCTCCTACTAAACCACATTCCCAGCCCAATTTTTTTACAGTGCTAATTTCAAAAAAATATACTTAAAAATAAATGAATCGCAGACAGGGATGGGGGAGGGGAATCAACGGGAAGGGCTAACAAAGAGGATGAGGATGAACATGGTCCATGTAATTTATCTGCATGTATGAAAATAGAATGGTGAAACCTGTTGAAACTGTCTTAAGAGGGGGAGTGAGATGGAAGAGATTAGCGGAGGGAGTAGTGAGCTGATGCATTGTTTACCTGTGTGAAAATATCACAAAGAACCCCTCTGTACAAGTAATGTGTGCTAATAAAAAAGAAAAATCAATAGGGAAGCAAACACCTTACAAGAAAAATGGGCAACGGACAAAAATAGTAATTTACTGTAATGGCCCAATTCTCAAAAATTAATCATAACAAAAGAAATTCAGTAGGAAGATTTTCTTTTTATGCCTACTAAGCTAGTGAACATTTTAATCGTTAAAGTTTGATAATACCAAGTTAGTAAAGATCACTGCCAGCCTGGGCAGGAAAGTTCATGAGACTCTTATCTCTGAGAAAGCACCAGAAAAAAATAGCCAGAAGATGGACTGTGGCTCAAGTGGTAGAGTGCTAGCCTTAAACAAAAAAGTGCCCAGGCCTTGAGCCTTGAGTCCTGGGGCTTGGACCAAAAAACAACAACAACAGAGTTTTGAGATTTTCCTGTCTGGGCTGGCTTTGAAGCTTGATCCTACTGCTCAGCTTCCTAAGTAGTTAGGATTACAGGCATGAGCCACTGGTGCCTGGCTATTTAACCCTTCTTAATTATCACTCTGTTCAAAATAGGCTAATAAAAATGTGAATGCACCAAAGGAAGATGTTCATACAAAAGCTGCAATAAAGGTCAGTCACACCTGTATCTTGTACATATTATACCTATCATGATACTTAAAATCCAGACTTCAGGAGCTTTGGTTGGAATTGTTGAGGTGAAAAGGAAGAAGCTAGTGCTCATTGATGAGTTAAGCCTCGCTGGCTGGAATAACTCTGTAATTGTACTGTTTTTGTTCAAACAAGTTAAAACTGTAAAGACTGCAGCTAATCAAGATTATAGTTCATTGTGGTTTTAGTATAAGACAATTTAAATCAAAACAAATACCTACCTAAGCGATGAAATCCAAAAGTGAATCTTCTGGTTGGTGACTTTGAAGACAACCACAAAGCAAGCAGCGTGAGTATGATGGCACTCAGATCGGTCAACATATGAAGTGCATCGGTCATAATTGCTAGGCTATTTGCTATGTATCCACCTTAGAGTAAGGAAGAAAAGGACAAAGAACAAGTTAATTTAAACAATATATATAAGTGAACAAACCTGAAATATATAGTATCCTACAAAAACAGAAATCTGTGAACTAAATGTTTATCCTGTTAAATTACATGGAACTATTCTGATGTTTTATGTAAGCATAATGTAAGTGTCTAGTCGTCCTTCAGTATCTGTGGGGTCTGGTTCCAGAACTCCTCTAATCAGAAAGTATCTTTATATAAAACAGTGAATTTACAAACGCTGATACACCTCCTTCTGTATACTTTAAGTCATCCCTAGATGACTAATAACATCTACAATATTAATGTTAAATTGCTCTTATAAACCATTATTTAGGGCATAATGACGAGAGCAAGTCTGGACATATTCAGCACTAATGCCTTGTTTTTGTTTTTTTGAACCACAGTGGAATCCATGACGTGGAACTATGGATACAGAGGGTCCACTGCACAAATTTCTGGTAAGAAAATCCATTTCTTTTAACAGATTCTCCAAGGAGTCAATGACTCTTCAAAAGCTTGCTAATTTGGTAGCATACATGTAGAGAGAAATGTGTTAGTACTGCAGCTTTTGCTCAGCCCAGTAATTCTGAGAGACAGTGAATCAATAGCATTGACATCTAAACTGCAAACGCTGAGGAAAAGCTATGTGTTCACTTTTTCAGGAGAGTCTGAAAACTAAACAAAACTGACACAATTCACAAAATGTGTATAATTAGTTTGACAAATTAGGCAAAAAATAACTTATTAACTTGGACATGATAGCAATGTCTCTAAGTAGAAGGAACAAAAGGTGGTTTTAGAAAACAAGTTCTGGCCAGTTCTAGTGGTTCACATCTCAAATCTTAATTATTCAGGAGGCCGAGATCAGGAAGATCGTGGTTCAAGGCCAGTCTGGGCATAAAGTTAGTGACACCCTACCTTAACAGAAAAGCTGGGTGTAGTGATATATGACTCTCATTCCACGTAGGAGGATCATAATCTCCATAAGAAACTAGAGATCTTACCTGAAAAATAACCTAAATAAAGAGGGCTGGGGGAAATGGCTTACGTGGCAGAGCTCCTGTCTAGCAAGCTGGAGAGGCCCTGTGTTCAAGCCTCAGTGAATGAATGAAAACATGTTGATAATAATGTGTAAAAGTAAATACTGTAAGAGCTATTGTTTAAATGTCTCCATTAAAACTCATGTTGATATTTAATCCCCACTGTGACTTATTAAGATGCTGGAAACTGAATCTTCCCCTTTGGTGGTAATTAAGGTTAAATGAGACCATAAGGACTCTAACTCAATGGGACTGTTGATTTATAACCGTGTGACACATACTACTGCCTTGGGACTATGCAAAGAGGGACCTACCAGATGGAGCCACCTGATTTTAAGTTTCAGTCTTTAGAATCATACCCCAGCAAACCCTTGTTCTTTATAGATTACTCAATCTGTGGTATTCAGTTACAGAAACAGAAAATGGACTAAGACTATGTATTAGGGTATGGTAAGAGCCATGATTTCAGATATCCACTGGTAATCTTTAATTATCTCCCTTCATGGATAAATCTTCCCTTATCTTTCTCTACTGTTACCATCCATCCTTCGATTCTACTATGAAAAAGCATGTTATTTCATTTTCTAACTTTTCTCTGGAGCTTTAAGTTCTTTTCTATTTTTATCATTCAAAAGCTCCACTTTTGGCTGAGCTCCGGTAGCTCATGCCTGTAAGCCTAGCTACTCAGGAGGCTGAGATCTGAGAAGCTTGGTTCAAAGCCAGCCCAGGCTAAAAAAAAGTCTGTGACACTGTTATCTCCAATAAACTACTCAGAAAAGTCCAGGAGTAGTGCTGTAGGGCTCAAGTGGTAGAGTGCTAGCGTTGAGCAAAAAAGCTCAGGGACAGCGCCCAGGCCCAGAGTTCAAGCCCCTGGGCCAGCAAAAGAAAAACAAACTCTACTTCTTTCTACTTAACTTTCTTCATGCACATTTCCAGAAGTCCTTTGTACACATCCTTCTCTAGGATTTGCTAGTCTAGTTGCTCTCCAATGTGGTACCTGAATGAGTAGTATTAGTATTCCTCCATTAGAAATCCAAGTGGTAGGGCTTGGAAGGTGGCTCAGTGGTAGGGTGCTTGCCTTGCATGTATGAGGCCCTGGGTTTGATTTCTCAGCACCACATAAGCAGAAAAAGCTGGAAGTGGCACTGTGGCTCAGGTGGTAGAGTGCTGGCCTTGAGCTGAAGAGCTAAGAGATAGCGTCCAGGCCTAGAGTTCAGGCCCACAACCGATCAAAAAAGAAAGAAAGAAAGACAGAAAAGAAAAAAAAGAACTGCAAGTGCTAGCCAGGTGCCCAGTGGCTCACACCTATAATACTTGTTACTCAGGATGGTGATCTGAAGTTCAAAGCCAGCCCAGGCAGGAAAATCCACTAATAGTTTTAATCTACCTAGTCTACTTATTTACATTTTTTTCTTTTTTCTCTTTTTTTTTTTTGTTGGTCATGGGGCTTGAACTCTAGGCTTGAGCGTTGTCCCTCAGCTCTTCAACTCAAGGCTAGTGCTCTACCACTGGAGCCACAGAACCACCTCCTTATTTCCATTTTTAAATGCAGTTGACTCCTTTATCCTACAGAGATACATTCCAAGACAACCCCCTGCAGTAGATGCTTGAAATCTTAAAGAGTACCAAATGCAATGCATACTATGTTTTTTTTGTACATATACAAACCTATGAAAAACTTCATCTTTTAAGTTAGGTACAGTAAGATAGTAACAAGAACTAATAATAAAATAGAACAATTTAACATCATAAAAGTTATGTGCTGACATGTTAGACAAAGGGATGATTCACATTCTGGGCAGAAGGGACCTGGAGTGAGATTCCATCACAACACTTGGGATAGTGAACTATTTAAAACTTATGGAATGTTTATTTCTGGGATTTTCCACTTCATATTTTCAGGCTGTGGCTGACTGTGGTTAACTAAACTTATGGAAAGTAAAAACCATGAAAGTGAAAATGAGAGTAAGGGGGGGAGTACTACTCTATTTTCTTGGATTTTAGGACACCTGCTGAGTGTTCCACAGGATTTAAGCTCTGTAGATAATTTTCTACATTCCTGTAGTGCTATATACTCTTTTTCTCCTTTAACCTGTCTTCTGAACCACAGACCTTATTTAACAGCCAACTAGACGTTTCCACTTGACTATTCATGTGCAAATTAAGCTATCCAGAACACTGCTTGAGCCCTTTCTTGGGAGGGGCCTACTTCATAAACGAGGTTTCAAGCAGTCAGCTTCTTAGGTGAGAAACTTCAGAATTACTCCTGCCACTGCTATCTCCTCAACTTCGACATCCAAATTAGCAGTTCATGTTTTCAATATTTCTTCTGGACTGTTTCTCGGTCAGTATAGTTTTCTACATCCATTCTAGTAAAAAAACGATAACTTCTTCTTGCCTGACTTCTGCAACTGTTTATCTTCCCCCATTATTGTACATTTTAATCCTTTGTCCACATAATAGTCAAAGTGATTGTGTGTGTGTGTGTGTGTGTGTGTGTGTGTGTACGTGTGTACACATCCTGGAGCTTGAACCCAGGGCCTGGGCACTGTCCCTGAACTTCTTGTGCTCAAAGCTAGTGCTCATCCACTACAGCCACAGCTTCAGTTTCACTTCCATTTTTTTTTGAGGGAGTGGGGGTGGAGGGGTGGAGGGGATGTTTAATTGGAGATAAAAGAGTCCAGGGACTTTTCAGTCTGGGCTGGCTTTGAATGCCGATCCTCAGGTCTCATCTCCTGAGTAGCTAAGATGATAGGTGTGAGCCACTGGCACCAGTTTCAGAGTGACTTGTTTTTTGTTGTTGTTGGTTGATTGTGGGGCTTGAACTCTGTGCCTGGGCGCTGTCCCTCAGCTCTTCAGCTCAAGACTAGCCCTTTATCACTTGAGCCACAGTGCCACTTCTGGTTTTCTGGTGGTTATTGGAGATAAGAGTCTCATGGACTTTCCTGCCTGGGCTGGTTTTGAACCGTGATCCTCAGATCTCAGCCTCCTGAGTAGCTAGGATTACAGGTGTAAGCCATAGGCACCTGGCTCAGGGTGACCTTTTTAATAGGTAAATCCTATCATTTCTAACTCTTGCTTGAACTCTTTAATGGATTCCTACCATGCTTAGAATAAAAACTACACTAATTCAGTGTGACCAGTCAGGACCTGCTTACCTGGTCCTCCTATCTTCCTTTGTCCCTCATGCTTACCACATTCCAGCCATATTGGCCTTCTTTTTAGTTTCTTTTAAGGAAATAATAGCTTTGGGACCTTTGTACATGCAGTTCTCTTTGCTTGGGTAAATCCTCCTATTCTTTTGTTTGTTTAAATGAATCTGGCTCATGTATAAACTATGTCTTATTGGTTATTAACTTATAGTTCTTGTTCTTTTTCACTATTTAAGAAAATCTGGATTTAATTGTGTGGTTATTTAATATGTTTCCTCCATTAGGAAAAATCAAATGCGTCAGATAGTAGAAATCATTAAGACTTTTGTTCTCCATTAGTTATCTAGAACATGTGGCTTAGGGCTTGGAATAAGTATGTACTCAAAAAGTACTTGCTGAATGGAAGGAACAAAGCAAAGACAGACTTTGTCCAATATCTCAGAGTGTTAGTAGTAAAACCAAGGTTCAAAATCAAGTCTCCTGTCAGATCATTAAATTATTTGATTTTTCATTACTCCATACTTCCTACATATGGTGTTTTAATTCTAAGTGCTTTGGACATACTTTTAATAAATATTTCATTTAACCAAATTCTATGTCACAATGTGAATAATGTTAATGCCTATCTTAAATACTATTATCTCTGTATTATTCAACAAAGATTCTATGTTTGAAACTAAAACAGTATTTGAAAGGAAAAAATACTGTAACTTTCATAAAACAACATTTGCCAAATATGAGATTTCAGAAACAGAAAGTCATTGCAAGTATATCTTAATATTTTTTTTACTTAAGTCAAATAACATATAATTTTTATTTTTATTTTTGCCAGTTCAGGGGCTTGAACTCAGGGCCTAGATTCTGACCCTGACCTTCTTTTGCCAAGGCTAGCACTCTACCACTTCAGCCACAGCACCACTTCCAGCTTTTTATGTGGTACTGAAGATCGAACTTCATGCATGCATAAACCACATTCCCCACCCAACATTTTAATTTTTAAGCAGGGAAATTGTTCGATGCTAGCCCAGGTGATTTAATGCCAGCCTAAACAGGAAAGTCCGTGAGACTCATCTCCAAATAACCATCTGAAAACCGGAAGTGGCCCTGTGGCTCAAGTGGTAGAGCACTGGCCTTAAGCAGAAGAGCTCAGGGACAGCACCCAGGCCCAGAGTTCAAGCCTCATGATTGACAAAAAAAGAAAGAAAAGAAAAGAAAAAAAGAAATCCCCCTAGACAGTGAGATATAGATCTCTGAGGTGTTTTTGAGATGAGACACAGATGTTCAGAAACTAGTCAAGAGATTTGGGAAAAAGCAATCCACATAAAGTTCTGATCTTGAAGTCGACCATGAAAGCAGTTTAGTGGAATGAACATAAGTGAAGTTATTACAATACATAGCATAACATTATTATTTCACTTATGCATTTATGTACACATGTATGTGCATATGTATGTATGCATGCCTACACAAGTCACAATGTTGTGCATTTCCTACTTTAGTGAGCTCAACAAGTTTGAAAGCTATTGAACTAGAGGGATCAAGCAATGGGAAGGCCTGAATGACAAGAAAGAGGTGTCTTGAGAATGATCAGCATGACTGAAGCAAACATTGAGGAATGGAATGAGGTAGGAAACGTACATACAATTTTCTATGTAGAACTTCCAGTAAAGCATTTTTGCCTGGACTTCCAATTTTATTCTTACTATGGTTCGTCCTTAGATGACAGAATCATTTCCCTGTTTTAATGTTATTTTATAAACTATCATTACGTTGACAGCCCTCTTCTCTGGGCTCTGCATCTTTGGACTCAACCGACTACAGATCAAAAACGTTTGAAAAGCAAAGGAAACAGTGCATCTTTACTCAACATGGATGCCTTTTTCTCTCTTTGCTATATGAGCAACTGCTTATATAGCATTATATTACATTTGGTATTAAAAGTAATTTAGAAGTGGTTTAAAGTATATAGAAGGACCTATGTGTGTTAAGTACAAATAACTGCATTTTTTAAAAAAGAATATGGGACTTGGTGTCCTTAGATTTGAAATTTCCCAAGGGATCCTGGAACCAACTCCCCTTGTACTATGGTCGGTCAACCAACATGATGGTAAAAATAATCTCTAAAAATCTATCTTATAGGGAGAATATATTATTTGCAATAATTAAAAAATGAGAAGCCTTCAGGGTAATTTCTAGGTTTCCTTATACTGAAAAAACTTTGTTATTACTTGGTAGTATTGAATTTTGCAAATCTTGTAACTATCAATTTTTTTAAAAATACATAAAAAGACCAAATGAGCGAAATGTAGAGGAAAAACCAAGCCAAACCAAACAAACGCCTCAGACTGTGGCTATGGCTCTCCCATCAGTCATCAAAGGAACCGCCACAACTTAACCCCTCTGGCTTTTCAAAACCTTTACGAGAGCAGGAGGGAGCAGGTGTTCCCCAACATCAAGATCTAGGACTAAGCAACTTTTGACCGAGTCACTAATTTTTTTTTTTTTAAAACAACATTGCAGCAAACGAACCTTGGCATTTGATCAGAACTGTTTACATTAAAAAAATTAAAAAACAAAAAAACCAAGTGACGTGATGCAGGGGGAAGATCCTTGTCCTCAACCTGACCAGGGGATGGACCTGGTATTGGGGGGAGAAGAAGAGAACTGGAATTCGGTCAGGTTCTCCCCCAGGAGGAAGTTTCTGTCGTCCTCGCGATGGCTGCACTTTGGAACCCCATGGCCTTCCCTCCCCCCCCCCCCCCCCCATCCTGAGCACCAGTTCTATAGGATCCTCAACCCAACTTCCTGAAAAGCTGAGCTGGAGCCCGCTCCACGCCTGTCAGTCCAGTGAGGACGGGCTCGGATGGACAGACGGCTCTAGGGGTGTGTGTGTGGGGGGGGGGGGGGGGTAGGGATGCACGGGGCAGGGGTGCACGGGGCAGGGGTGCACGGGGCAGGGGGCAGGCAGGAGAGACCACGTCAAACAGAGAAGTGAGTTGACCGCCCAACTCACCTACAAGTTCTCCAATCATGAAAAGCAAGTAAAGAACGGCAGCAATGGTCAACCTGGTTTTCACCTTTCTCTGCTTCAGCCGCTCCCTCCGCCGGCTGCAGCGGTCGCAGGGGTCCACCTTCAGGCTCAGCTGACTGTGGGTCAGGGGCAGATCCTGATCCAGGAGCGAGTCGTCGTCGGCGGCCCCGGCGGCCCCGGCGGCGGCCTGGAGGGCCGGGTGCGCGCCGTTGGCGGGCCTTCCGGGGCTTTCCGAGTCGTCGTCGTCGGCGGCGACCACCACGCGCAGCTTGTTGAAGCGTCGCGGGAGCCCCTCGTCCCCCGCCTCGTCCGAGAAGTCGAAGGCGCTGGTGTCGTTCAAGAAGAGCGGCGCGTCGTCCTTCCTCAGCAGGGAGCGCAGGCGCTTCCACGCGCCGGAGCCGGCCATGGTCGCGGCCGGGGGTGGGGCGGGGGCCGCGGGGCGAGCGCGGCGCGGGGCGGGCGGCCGGCGGCGGCGGCTCCTTCACGGCCGCGCCAGGTCCCGAGGGCAGGGCCGCGCGTCCCTCCCCATCCTGCGGGGAGGGCGTGTGTGTGCGTGCGTGTGTGTGCGTGGAGGGGGGAAACCGAACACCGTTACGAGTGAAAGGCGTCCCCCCCCCCTCACCACCCCCGCCCCAACCCGAGTCGGGGGCCGGCGTGGGCGGGGCGCGCGTGCGCGTGCGCGTGCGCGAGGGGGCGGCCGGCCTCGGGATCCCGCTAGGGGGCGGCGCGCCCTACCTGGGCCGCAGCCGCGGGGTCGCCGCGCGCATCTCCTCCACGCCGCCGGAGGGCTTGGCGGGGGCCACGGGCCGTACACGCGTCTACCGCGCCCGCCGCTTCAAGGCCGGCTTCCCGGAAAGTCTTGACCGGAAAAAAAAAAAAAAAAGCCCTCCGAGGCCGGAGCGACGCGCGCGGCCGCCCCGTCTTCCCCCCCCCCCCCCCCCCCCGCCCATGCGCGAGGTCGCGTGCGCGTGCGCCGCGAGAGGCGCGCGAGGGAGGGGGTCGGCACCCGGGACACGCACAGCCGGCGGCGCTCAATCGCTGGGCGCCCCCGCGGGGGGCGGGGCCAATGCGGAGGAGTGGGCGGGGCTTGCTGTTCCCACCGGCTCCCCCCCCCCCCCCCCACCTCCCTCCCAGCTCCACCTCGCCCTTTGGGCACGCGTGCCCGATCCCGTCCACCTTCCCACTGGAGACGTGTGCAACCAGGTCCATCGGCTGCAGTGAGTGGATTCGAACCGGCCCTTCCTAGATGAGCGTTCCCGTCTGGAGATCCTTCCGCCCCACCTGGGTCTTGGGAATCTCGGGTCCGATCTTGGGTGCAGAAAACCAGCTCGGCGCTTGTCTGCCTACTAGGTGGGAAGCAAAGAGGCTCTTGCCTCTTGGCCCTGGAGTGGCTGCCTTCTTAGACAAATGGGCAGAAATTTGCTGCCCGACCGGATCCACTGGTCAGGACCAAGCGATGGTCGTCAGCAGTTCTGTGGTCCTGTTCCGTGTTTATCATTGTTTTCCAGCAAATACGGGTTGCCCCTCCTCTGATGTTGTGGCAAGGTTTCTTTTGCCACCAAGCTGGTGAGAGCTACCTACCTGTTTGGCTTTTGCTTCTGTGTAACAAACATCAGTTAAAGTCATTAAAAGAAAATTAAATTCTGAGTTGCAGTTGTGGATCTAAATCTAAATTTTATGTTTTAAGAAGATGGGGGTAGATGGGGTGGGAGGGTGGGATTTATCTTAGTGGAAGAGCATTGGCCTAGCAAGTGCAAGGCCCTGAGTTCAGTTTTCAGCTCTATGGGGAAAGACAAAAAACAAGCACACACGCACAAAAAGCCTAAATTTTATGTTGGACACCGGTGGCCTGTGTCTATAATCCTAGCTACCCAGGAGGCTGAGATCTGAGGCTCAAGGTTGGAAGTCTGCCCAGGCAGAAAAGACCATGAGACTCTTCGTTCCAGTTAACCAATAAGCTGGAAATGGAGATCCCACTCAAGGAGTAGAGCCCCAGTGATGAGCAAAAAAAAAAATCCAAGCAAGTGTGCGAGGCCCTGAATGCACACCCTAGTATCAGCAAAAAGAAGCCTAAATTTTAATGGCAAAACGTAATAACAGTAAGCCAAGCAATGTGTCCTTCCTTGAGTTTGATGTCCTTGTCTTCAATTTTTAGATCTGAGTTGTTTTTTTTTTGGTGGATGTTCAGGAGGTTCTGTAGACCTTAAATCTAAATGCAAAATTCTTTATTTTTCTTAGCTTTCATCATGTTCTTAAAGGGGCCTGAGACTCAAGACTAAAAGCAATGCTGTCAAGATACTTCATTTCAAAGTGCAAGTTCCTCTTTATCCTGTTTATATTGTATTTTTGCAACAGTATGTAAGTCTTACCAAATTCCATGCCACAAAAAACACAGTGAAGCCGGGTGCTGGTGGCTCACGCCTGTAATCCTAGCTACTCAGGAGGCTGAGATCTGAGGATTGCGGTTCAAAGCCAGCCCGGGCAGGAGAGACCGTGAGACTCCTATCTCCAATAAACCACCAGAAAACCGGAAGTGGCGCTGTAGCTCAAGTGGTAGAGCGCTCGCCTTGAGCTGAAGAGCTGAGGGACAGCGCCCAGGCCCAGAGTTCAAGCCCCATGACCGGCCAAAAAAAAAATAATAATACAGTGAAAAAGCGACATGAAACAACGTTTTCCTCTGAAGAGTTAGATGATAGCTGACAACACTGCATGTCTCAAGTACAAGAGCATCAACTGCTTTTGGATCCCAGGATTATCCCTTTTCACTACTGTCTGTCATACTCCCACAGAGGTGGGGTCATGGAACAAGTTAAGAAACCTGCACCAGGCTGGGAATATGACTTAGTGGTGGAGTGCTTGCCTAAACATGCATGAAGCCCTGGGTTCGATTCCTCAGTACCACATAAACAGAAAAGGCCAGAAGTGGTGCTGTGGCTCAAGTGGTAAGAGTGCTAGCCTTGAGCAAAAAGAAGCTCAGGGACAGTACCCAGGCCCTGAGTCCAAGCCCCAGGACTGGCAAAACAAAAAAACACCAGAGACCCCGTTCATCCCAAGGGAATGCTACTACTCCAGACTTCACTAAGACACTGGCCTTCATCAATGGATGCAGACGGGAGAATTTACTTCAGATTGCTTTCCTAAACCCAACCATCTTAATCCTGATCTAGTTTTAGAATAGGTTGTTTTATTTTTATAAGTACCTGAGTTCTACTGAAGAGATAGAAATGAACAAGCAACTACTTCAAAGTGTCATCATACTCCTTTACTATAAATTCTTCAAAGAAGATTTCATCCAAGGAACAAAGGTGATGAATATTTTTAGGGAAAGGTAAGAGCCTGAGTTCTTTTGGGTATTTAATTGTTGAAAACGTCCAATGTTCTGCATTCCTGTTGGTTTTTACTGTTTTGACTCACTAGGTCCTGGAGAGAGTGAGGGGAAGACAACCAAAAAATCTGTGTGGTGATTTAAAGATACAGACACAAATCCTGTAATCACTCTTCAGAAAGTGGAGCTTAGTCCTCATTCTATGGAGTGTGGGCAGCACTTAATAATAGCACATGACCCCAAATGAATAGAAGATGGCTGAAGTGACTGTGGCTTACACGACGAGGTCATAAAAGACAGCGCAGCAGCCTCCTTTTCACTCTTCGGGGAGCACTGTCACAGAATAAGGATCGCAAACAGCCCCATAAAAAGGCCTGTGTAAGGAGAAGCGGAGCCAACAGCCATGCTCTGCAACCACCACAAATGGACCCTTCGGCCCTAGGGAAGACTTCCAATGAAGTCTGGGCAGTGTTGACTGAAAACTCAAGGTGGGTACTGAGCCAGAACTACCCAGGTGAGCCACGTGTAGATGACAGAGGCTGCATGAGATAATAAAAGTTTTCTTTTTTTTAGGATGACAAGTTCTGGAGTAATATCCTCATTCCCTTACTCTTTACTTTTTCCTCCTCCTCCTCCTCCCCTCCTCCGCCTTTTTTGGTCATTTGTAGGGCTTGAACTCTGGGCCTGGGCGCTGTCCCTCAGCAATTCAGCTCAAGATGAACACTCTACCACTTGAGCCACAGCGCTATTTTCAGTTTTCTTGGGGTTAATTGGAGATAAGAGTCTCATGGACTTCCCTGCCCCAGGTGGCTTTGAACCACAGTCCTCAGCTCTCAGCCTCCTTAGCAGCAGCTAGGATTACAAGTGTGAGCCACTGGTGCCTGGATTCTTTTCTTTTTAATATCACATGGGCTCTTGTTCCTAGGCCTGCCCTTGAACTGATGGCATGATTTTTTAATCAATGAGCTTTGCAACAGACCTTCTGCAAATGGTCTCAGAATGTAACCATCAGTTGCAACTTTATTTCTCTATGTTTGGGGTTTATAACAATAGACAAATGAATTTCTGAAACATGACCTACTTATAATCTCAGCACTGCCTGTAATTCTGCTAGGGATTACTCAGTATACATTCTTTCAGGAGACTTCCTACTTCTTTCCACTCTAAAGGACTGACTTGTTATGCATGGTGGACAGAAAACGTCACCAGCCATTTAGCCCATCTCTCAACCAGGTGACCCATAATATACAGATTGTTTAGGTAATTGCTGAGGCCCACAAGTTCAATTGAAAGGCACATACCTTAGGGCAGTTAACTAAGACAGACATAAAAATAACCCATGACAAACAAAGGCCATTTTCTGGTCCAGATTATCTTGTGGGAGAGAAAAAAAATAACAAAGCTAAACATTATACCATAGCTAACATTTACTGACAGCTTGTTGATGTGCCAGACACTGTGCAGGGGACCTAACTTACCATAGCTCTTTTAGTCACATCACTGGGAAGAATGTGGTAACCAAAATCATGGGTGATGGAGTGCTTGTATTTGAATCCTGATTTTACCATTCACCATCTCATGGTTTTCTTGTAGACTCTGCAACCTCTCTTCACTTCAGTTTTCTTGGGGGATGGTAACTGTTACCACTTCACAGGGCTGCCGTAAAGAATAAAAAGCATTATACACATAAAGCACATAAAACTTCACTTCCTAGCATATAGTAAGTGCTCAGTTAAAGATGAAGACGGAGACACCGAGTCTCAGGGTGGTGAAGGGTCTTGGCCAAGGTTATGCAGCTAACAAACAAATTGTGTTGAATTCAGGGCCCGGACATGATCCTTGAATTCTTTTGCTCAAGGTTTGCACTCAACCACTTAAGTTGAAGCTCTGCTTCTGTTTTTCTGGTGGTTAATTGGAGATAAGAGTCTCATGGACTTTCCTGCCCTGGCTGGCTTAGAATTGTGATCCTCAGATCTCAGCCTCCTGAGCAGCTAGGATGACAGCAGGAACTCAGATTTCAGATGGTTTCATAGTTCAGATCCAATCATGTCTACCCTGTCTTCCTCTATTTCTTTCCATTT